CGAGTCCCGTCGGATTGCATCGGCTGTGGGGATGAAGACCACAACTCCCATGATTCCACACTCAGTCACTGCGTCATCAAACTACGCCTTTGTCTCTTTGTTTATTTTCAATACGCGCCCTCTAGCGGTGAAAATTACATATTGTGCCTTTAATATAGCATACTGTACGGCTGCTGCTTAAATATAAAGACTAAAAGAATAAAAGGACATTGGTTGTGACAGTGGATTCAAATCTCTTTTGAATTTATAAACTATAACTATAAACTATTGCATCCAATGTCTCCTTTAAAATTTAAATATTATAATCTTAATTCAAGTGATGAAGGATTTAGAAAGTCTGACAGTTATCAGTGTTGAGCACATATTGTAAGTTTAACCCTGCCTGGTTTACATGTTTGAAAATGATTAACAGTTGAAAAAATTAGAAATTTAGAAAAGTAATCAAAAAGTAATCAGGTGTAATCAGTTACATTACTTTAATGAAGTAATTGAAAAGTTACACTACTTATTACATTTTAAGTAGGGTAACTTGTAATCTGTAACCTATTACATTTCCAAAGTAACCTTCCCAACACTGTTTATAACCTGCCAGCATTATGTAGCTCAATATTTAGCTGAGCTGCAAAATCTCAGTTACAGACATTTTTTTTTGGCCAAGGTAAGCTGGGTGATATAACTCCAGCTATGTTTCAGACAATGCTTGGCTCACAAAATAATTTTAGCACTAACAACACTAAACGCTTTCTCACTGTTATTTAAATGAACACACTCACACTTACTGTTCTTGGCAGTGAGCTTTTACTCAGAACAACTTACAAGAGTGTTGTGTTAATGTTAGTTTATATGTTTATATAAGTACAACATGAGGCTGAGGGTTTTATTTGGCTTTGTTACAATATGTAGTGAATGTTGTTCCAAAATGATTGCTCACTGAATGACACGGATGAAGGAAGGATGTAGTGGCCTGACTGAGCAATAGAGTTTGATACTGCTTTTAGCAAAAGGATTAGATGTTCAGTTTCTTGAATTTTGATTGTGCTCAATCATAACAGCTATCTCCAAAAACTGAACTGCATTAATTAAAAGGATAGTTCAAACAAAAATGAGAATTGTGTCATGAACTACTCAACCTAATGTTATTCCAAACATGTATAACTTTCTTTCATCTTCCAAACACAAATTAAGATATTTTTACTGAAACATGAGGTTTCTGTGTCTCCACCAAAACTTTCACGCATTCAAAAGTACAAAAATACACGGTAAAAGTAATCCATATGAATTGAAAACAAACCTCATTGTTTCTTGTGGAAGTTCAAACATGCTTGCGTGACATGCAAGAACAAACCTCATTGGTTGACAGGTTTCATTAATAATGTCTTCATTTGTGTTTCAAAGATGGATGAAAATCTTATTGGTTTAAAATGACATGACGGAGAGTAAATGATGCAGAATTTTCATTCTGGGTGAACTATCCTCACTTTGTTACTTTCATGACAGAGAGGGCCTGATGAATAAGAAGTTTGGTGGAGCAGAGGTCAAACAAAGGCTAGATTTACTGTAGCTCTGGAGCTACCGGGGGAAGTTTTTATTGGTAATGTGATGAGTAGTTATCGAGGTGAAGTTGTCAGAGAAGCTGAAATCATTCTGCAGAGATAAGAAGGGTGTAGGGGTGTAGAAAGGATACAAACACACACACACACACACACACACACACACCGATTGCAGACTCACCCTCTGGCAGGACACAGAGAAGGTTTCGGTGCACATTGAGCTCCCTCAGAGCTTTGAGTTGGCCAATGTGGTGTGGGAGAGCTGTGATTTCATTACAGCTTACATCCTGATTGGAAAAAGAGTTTAGAGTTACATGTTTACCTTCTTCTCAAACACAAGCTTCTGCACAAACCTTTCATTACACTCACTCTAACTAAGTGCTTGTTGTACTATATTATACGAGATCCCACCTGGCATAAACCTACAAAACCTGGTCTGTGGGTTCATTTTTGGTTACAAAACAGAGCAGGAGAAAAAAAGACAGGGAGAAGAACTACCAGAAAAAAAAAATGGAAAGAGAGAAATGCAGTACATTCAATATAAGCAGATATGAGCCAAATCGAGAAAGGGTGAGTCAGCATGGTAATATAGTCATAAAACACAGAGCAAGTATCACAAACATCTCATTCATATGCAGACATCAGAGGTACAGCACTCATGCTGACACTTACCAGCTCCATGAGATTGGTGAGCTGGCCAATGCTTTCTGGAAGTGCGTTGAGTTTGTTATTGCTGGCGTTGAGCACTCGCAGAGGAAGACCACACACACACGCTGGCAGCACTGACAGCTGGTTCCGGCTACAGCACCACAATGTTCAAACAAAACATGTTACAGCATCTTTCTTAATGCTACTCCTCAAGCAGAAGCATTTATCTGGAAAGCTTCATTCTGATTGGTCAATCACAGCATTTATTTATTTGATTTAATAAGTGGGGAAGAATGTAGGAAACAAAATATCATTTGAAACTGGAAATAAAGAGGTTTTAAGATTGTGGGAAAAAAATAAACATCAAAGATGTTAAATAAATAAGAAAATACAGGGATATACTAAATACAAAAAATCTTAAATTCATGTGAATTTTTATTTTTTATATATTTTTGTCGTTTTTCATTTTATTTAGACTTGTTTTTCTCTTTTAATGCATTTGCGCTGTAACCGATGTGATCTTTTGATTTGTCTTCAATGTTTTATGATCTCCTTTATGAGGGACATTTGTCTTTGACATTTCTTACATGTGCTGTTGTTTCTTTCTGTTTGGAACTCATGGGAGTTGAAGTGTATTTAATTATCTAAATAATTACAATTTCCAACTGATAGTTATATTAATATAATAAGTAACAGAAAAAATATAAAAAAATAAAAACAAAGCATTTTCACACGTACACAAAACATTTTTTATAAAATTACTAGAATTAACTTATTACACAACAGTTAAATTGTGGCACTGAAGAGAGGCGAATGTGCATTATTAACTCATAAAAGACTGATATGCAAATATAAATAATAAATCATCTGTTTTCTTTGGTCATGTGTGTGCCGTAGCCTTCCTGTAACACTTCATCATTTCTGTCTGTATGATGTTAAACAGGAAAAAGACTGACTTCAGGGAACTGCTCATGAGTTCATGAGAAGTAAAAGCTAGACAAACTTTGCCTGTTATGACTAGAGGATGACAGACAAATATACAATTGTTCAACTCTGTGTATGTGTATGCAGAACTAGAGGAAAAACGTCTCGGTTACTTGTGTAACCCTCGTTCCCTGAAGGAGGGAACGGAGACGTTACGTCAGTCGTGACTGACGAATTGGGATCTCGCCCGAGAGCCCAATCACCTTACTGACGTAACGTCGAACGTGACTGACTGAAAGGGAACATATAAATCTGTGTGCAAGTCTCTTTTTGCTTTCTTTTGGCAATTCCATATTCTGATGATCTTGCATCCATTTTTCATGATCTCACTTGGTTTTTCTGCTTGATTGTCCATCTCCAGTTTGTTCACTCTTCTCAACCGCTAAGAGCTTAGTGCTTCATTAGCTTCTTACAAAACAAATTCCATCGCTAATGAACTCAGTGTGAATATCAGGCCTTCTGCAGGAGTCATTTGGCTGGAGAGAGAAACCCCAAACAGAGGGAGAGTCTATGTGTGTGTGCGCGCGGATGTATTTACATTTAACAGAAGCAGGAAGGACAACCAGAGGGAAAAGCATGTTTATTTGGTTCACTTCAGTGTTGTATGTTATATGTTGTGCACTTTGATTTTACTCTTGGGCTGTATATGTATCTAAAGCCTAATTATAACAATACCATTCAGGTATTTTAATTACCATACATATTAAACCACACATCTTTAGAAAGAACCTAAAGACCACATTTTAGGGTCTGGTGGACCCATATGGGGCTCCCTTAAGATTGACTAATCAACTAGGCTAGTCATTCAAACCACCCACGAACTAGTCCATTTTAAAAAATATGCAGTTTTTCATACAGTCTCATTCAAAACACATATGCAAATAAAATATTTTAATACCACATTAGGTTAGGTCTGCTGATGCACAAACATGCAATCCTATATGTTATGTTTGGAAAAGAATAATGGCATAATAATAGCAGTACCATTCAAAACTTTATGGACAGTAACTTTTTTTAAATGTTTCTGAAATAAGTATCTTATGCTCATCAAAGCAGTGTTTATTTGATTAAAGGGGTCCTATTATGCTCTTTTACAAAGTCTTGATTTTGTTGTGGGGCTCGAATAGTTCCTGTATCAAATGAAGGCCCGCCTTCTGAAATACGAAATGTGCTGTTATTGTTTGTAACCACTCTAAGTTTGTCTGCCTTGGGAAAGCTAGCGTGTCTCCGACATAGTGATAACACTCGTTGCCTTCTCTAGTGCAGCTCAACCAGGTCTCATCCCATTCGTCGATATTTGTGATATCACAAATCCCGGAAAATATGCGTTGTAGTCCAAACAAGTCGTTCGTTGTAGTTTTTGAAAATTGATTTCTGTTAAATAAAATATCTCCTTTTGAATTGGACTTTGAGCTTTGTAACTTTGCAGATCTTTTTTATGCTCAAACAGCAACATTACAGACTAACTAAAGTTGAAAAAGTGAAAAAGCATAATAGGACCCCTTTAAAAATACAATAAAAACAGTAATATTCTGAAATATTATTAAACTTCAAAATAACTGTTATCTAATTGAATATTTTAAAAAATGTAACTATTTCTATGATGGCAAAGTTCAATTTTTAGCAGCCATTACATCAGTCTTCAGTGTCACATGATCCTTCAGAAATCATTCAAATATGCTGATTTGCTGCTCAAGAAACATTTCTTATTATCAATGTTTAAAACAGTTGTGCTGCTTGATATTTTTTTCAGGATTCTTCAATAATAGAAAGGTCAAGAGAACAGCATTTATTTTGGGCTACAAATCTTTTGTAGGATTACACAAGTCATTTTTAAACTTTTGATCAATTTAATTACTATCTTAAAAACCATATTGACCGGAATGTTTTGAACTATAGTATACCACATAACTTGAGACACACAACCTTTATGCTTAATTAATTAATTTTATTTTCTATTATGTTGTATGCTTAATTGAGCGTGTGGTGTTCAGTTTTCATCTTGGGAATAAATATGATTATTTTGCATTTTTAATCCAATTTGTAAAATATTTCTTCATTTTTGTCAGTATACTAAAATACTGAGTCATCAGGGAGATTGTAAACATTGCAGAGGTTTATTCACAGTTCATTTATCAAACCGGAAACGAAAGTTCAAATTCATCTGCATTGTAGCACACAGTGTTCTCTGGTTGTGAACTGCATATTATGGCATGGCAAATGTAGTAAAGCATCACCTGGGTCATACATACAGAAAACTGACAGTATACATACTGCTCCCTGCAGAAATATTAGTAGTATGCTAGCAGTAGAATGCTATTCTAAGCATACTCACACATTCTCACGGTTTCCCACAATATTAGTGCGTTAAGAGAATAGAGACATAACACAATGTCATTCATCTCTTTGTGAATGTGTGTGTATGTGTTAAGGCTGGAATAGCTACACTACATGACTTTTAAAATCTGAGCAGATTTTTAAAACACTAGGCATCATACACTTACCAACTTTGTAAATAGTGACAAAGGAAAACTGACCATCATACACTAAATGACTGAGGATCACACACTACCAGACTTTCAAGTCGTTCCAATCACAACAAACTCATGCAGAAATGTGCACGTTGTTGCTAGGAGACACATGACAAATGAAAACAACGTGTTCTAAAATCAGCTGAAAATATCAAACATGTTTGATCTCCTCCGACTGGATGGAGTCTGTGACCATCATACACTATGCGATTTTCTATGGAATCTGTCAACTCAAATCTGCAGACTGGCTCTGACATTCTGCAACTAACGTCAACTTCTCCTGACTGTAAATCTGTGGAAAATCAGGGCAAAAATCTTGTAATGTATTCCAGGCTTTAGTGTGATGCTCACCTGATGTTTAAGCAGGTCAGGGATTGAAGGCTGATGATGGTATCAGGAATGCTTTTGATGCAGTTGTGATAAAGGTTCAGCGTTTCCAGGGAGACCAGATGACACATCTCTGACGGGATGTCAATCAAGCGATTCTTCGACAGATCTGAGAGAGAAAGAGTTCAGTTAACACTAATGCTTTAAAAAATAAGTTAGAGCATTTATTATGCAACTAGCATGCCTTTACATTACACTCGATGCTGTTTGTTGTTGTAGTACCATAACTAAACACAGGGAGGTGCATTCACAAGTACATATATCAATGAAGAGAACATTAGCAAAAACATCTGTGAGTGTGTGTGAAGGAGGGGATTCCAAGGTTAGGTTCCCTTCCTGAACACACACACACACACACACACACACACACACACACACACAAACACACCCACGCACGCCGAACGCCGTTCTGGATGTTAATGCAATGTCAGGCTGAAGTGTGTGTGTGACACACACACACACACACACACACCTCATTTTAAAAGCCATAATTGGTAGTGCCCAAGCGCAGTTAGTATTTCACATGCCTAAAGGTGATGTCATTGTTTAAATGATGACATTTAACAAATGTGTGAGGGTATAACCACCAGATCGTTTCATCAATGTGATCAATGTTTTGCTGATGTTTCAGGCCATGTTTTTATATCAAATTTATAGTAATATTAATGAAACTCTGTAGCAGTTGACTTTACTGTGAGAGTATGCGACTAAACTTACTACTCACTCCCTGTATACATTATGACAACTGTACCACTTTACCACCTTGACACTATGCATTAGTTTCCATGGAAACCATACCCACACCCTTATGAGAGACTGCATGAGTGCTAATAGCAAAGGACAGTCCAAAACACACACACACACACACACACACACACACACACATGTTGTGTTTCCATGTTTTATGGGGACATTCCATAGGCGTAATGGTTTTTATACTGTACAAACTGTATAAGCTATTGCCCTACACCAACCCTACCCCTAAACCTACCCCTCACAGGAAACTTTGTGCATTTTTACCTGCATGAGTGCTGATAGCAAAAGACAGTCCAAAAGACACACACATAGTTTTCATGCATTAAACAAGCTTGCCAAGAATGAGGCACCCATAATACACTACAGTATACATACAGTCAAAATACATCCACCAAATTTACTGAGACAAGACCTAGATAAATAGTCCCACCAACCATTAACCCTAATAATAAGTTAAAAGTTTCAAAAAACATGACACCCAAACCATAACTCTAAGCAAAAGCAGAAATAACAACTGGAGATCTCTAAATTTGATCTGTACCAGATGCTGAATGATGAATTTCAATGATGATGAAATTCTGGCCGATACTGATATGCTGATCATTATTATTGCACAAAATTATGTTATTATGTTATGATATTATCCCATGTTAAAAAGAAGTACACTTTAGCATATTTTTTAAAAAGAGTACTTATTACAGAAATAATACACTTTAAAGTGTACCGCCGAATGCACTGGCATACTACAATAAATTTTCATGTTATATCTATTTAAAATTGTACATTGTGTATTTAAATACACATTGTAATTGCAATTACAAGTCTAAATGTAACACTACACGTACACAAAATAAGTTTACTTTTTTAAAGCACAACAAAAAATTATTAAAACTTTGATTTAAAATGCACTTTAAAATAAAAATTTGATAAAATAAAATTTGGCATTATTATAAAGTGCACTTTCAAAAACGGTACTTAAGTGTGTTAAAAAACAGTCATAAAAGTGTAGTCTCTTCGAGTACATTTAAGTAGCCTTTTATTTCATTAATATTAGTTTTTTTTTTTAACTTTTAGGATTCAATACAATTAGCACACTTCTTTTCACAAATACCTAACTCCACACAACAATGAATTTATAAAAGTATACTGTAAAGCAGGAAAGATGAATAAATATTTATTTTTGATACAACAAAATTTCTAATATCCAATGAAACAATGAAAACAAAAATTACATGCTGGTGTCGTCCAATATGACGCAGTCACAGATATATCACGTATGCCTAATCTAATGAATTTCCTTACGTTAGGATGTGTGGATACTGACAAATCACAAAGGTCTAAAAATAGTTGGCCAACCAAAGACGTGCGTGTTAGCAATTTCATTTCAACTGCTGTTAAAACAGAAAAAGCTCTTCACCTCAAAACTGGAGTGAACATGGCAGATATCCTAGATGTGTCTTCTGTGTGTATGACAGAACAACTCATGTGATGGAGGCAACCATTATGGGCAGCCAACCACCAGTGGCTCTCCATAGACTCCTGATGATCTTAGTTGTACAGACATCGCTCTAACGTCTCTCGTCTCCGATCTGTCTCTGTCTGAACTGTCTCTCTGTCGTGCTGAGCTGTAACAGTGGTCTGTGTTGAGGCTGTTTGTTCTGTTCAGAGCACACAATGGGCATCGAGATGGCATGGATTATCAGACTAACCCCTGATGAAAAGCACGCACACACACACACATCCCTATGAAAACACCTCTTTCTGTAAGAGTGTGTGTGTGTACATACTGTAGGTTTAAGGATAAAATAGACACATGAGAAAGAGAACAGGAGGGAAGGATAGAAGAATGTGAGCTCTGTCAACACATGGGCTGTCAAGGGAGGCGAACTCGTGAAATGATAAAATGTTCATTTACCAATCTACTTTAACAACTAAGTTCTGTCTAGTGGATATACTGCAATATAAACAGCATAGCAGAATGAAGAGCCCCAAAAGGACAGCAGAATTTGATACACAGACACAGACATACTTCTGACTGGGTGAGTGAAGTTTTCATTAAGTTAATTACATCTCTCATTCCTTTATTTGAGCTCTAATTGCTCATTCTTTCACTCAAACGCTCTTGTCCTCTCCTTACAGTGTCTCTGAAGTGGGAAAAGGGCATAGAAACACAGTCTATCATTATGTTGCTCTGGGTGTGGCCTCATCTTGTGGCTTATAGCTGGAATAATCAGCTGAGTGTGTGTGTGTGTGTGTGCACACTTATTTACAGTATATAATCAAACAGATGGTTCTGACTTAGATTTATAGCAAGTGTGCTAAAGAGTTAAATGCACATGCAAGTAAGCGCTGCATTTGTGCTCGTGTGTTTCTGCCACTCAGCATTCCTCTGTGTGCCCACTCTCAGCGTGACGTTGAGTGCGTAAGTGTGCTCTTTTGAGTTCTGCTGAATAAGCAAACTGTTTCTCTCTGACAGACAGTGGCACCCCGATTCACACTGGACGAGAAGAGTGTGTGTGTTTATGCCTCCCAAATCTAATTTTTCTAATTTTACAGCTCTTTAGTGAAGTCAGATGTAAAAATAATGTGGAAAGAAACAAACCATCAATGCTCAAAGTTGAGTTTTGGACTCGCAGGCAATCCAGACAGGAAATCACAGCACTGCTTTCATTCATACATTTTGATCATCATGGATTTAAGAGAGAAAATCTCTGTGAATTTAAATTCATTAAACACCAAAAATAAAAAATAAAATAATTTAATTTAATTAAATATTGACAATTTTACCAAATATTTGTGAGCCTTATGTATTTTTAGGTTTATTAGGGAATCATGGTGATTCCAGAAAGGTTAACAAAACAACAATTAATCTGATTTCATTTGCTTTACAACAACCTATTTTTTTCAAATTCTGTGCATCTGACAGGCTAATTGATATCTAGCAACATTGCTAACATAACATTTTATTAGAATCAATTGTGAGTCTCATGGCAGAGTGCTACTGGTGAGCCACATTTGCTCTGACAGCGATTGATTTCTAAATTCCATAACTGGAATTTAAAAATTAAACTTCCATAACTCGCACTTCATTTTCACTGTCAGATCAATGCATCACTGCACTTTATACCCTGAGAGAGGTCTGATTTATTCTACCATAAGACTTATGACCTGATTAGCAAGCTCAGTCCATCTGTCCCCACCACACACACACACACACACATGTTGTGTTTCCATGTTTTATGGGGACATTCCATAGGCGTAATGGTTTTTATACTGTACAAACTGTATGTGCTATTGCCCTACACCAACCCTACCCCTAAACCTACCCCTCACAGGAAACTTTGTGCATTTTTACGTTCTCAAAAAAACTCGTTCTGTATGATTTATAAGCTTGTTTCCTCATGGGGACCTCAAAAATGTCCCCACAAGGTCAAAGTTTACTAGTATTACTATCCTTGTGGGGACATTTGGTCCCCATAACGTAGGGCTGGACAATAATTCAATATCAATATGTATCGCGATATAATTTTTTTCAATAACGGTGATATAGGGCTGGACGATATGGCTAAAATTTATATCACGATATATTTCTTAATTTCGGTCGATACGATATAATTCCGATATCGATATGAACACTATTAAAAAAGCCTCATAAAAACAGCCAAGAACGGCCACAACAGATGTCTGTACCTACAAACTAGTATTACTATCCTTGTGATCGTCCAGCCCTACCATAACGTGATAAATACCAGGTACACACAAACACACACACACGCGCACACACACACACACACGTATGTATGTATGTGTATGTATATAACTTCCAGCAATTATATAAGCAAATGTATAGCAAGGCCATAAGCATACTCAAAGATCAAGAGAATGGTCCATTAATAATATATATTACAAGCATATCACATTCATCAATACACACACACACACACTGACCCTCTTTTTGGTGTCTGGGTGGAGCTCTGATAAAGTGAGTGTCTCAGAATGTATGTAGGACAGATGAATCTGGGTAATATCACAGTCTCAAGGACACAAACAGCTGTTGTCTGTACATAATACCTTATATTAAAATGGATCATTGATCTGGGGTGCGTTTCCCAAAAGCATTGTTAGCCAACTATGGTCGCAAGTTCCGTGGTAACCAACATAGTTAAACTATTCGTTGTTTCCCAAAACCATAGTTCAATCAAACATTCACAAACAGCGTCGAAAACTTACGTGGTAGGAACTACAGCTCTCCACCTGTGGTTAGAAGCATAGTTTCTTGTTAGTAAGACATATGGACTTAAATAAAAATGCTCTCGGGGACAATAAGCAAGCTAACTGATGCAGTACAATTTA